GGGGGGGGTGAAGGAAGTGCCTCTCAAACTTCACTACTGCACCCGCAGGAGCTATTTGCAACGGATTTCGCTGTACATGTCCTCCGTCGGATACGAAGTTACGATGCGAGCTATGACTATGGTTTGGATACATATTGAGAAATTGGAATAATCGATGATAATACTATTCCATAGACGCAAGATTAAACAAAACGAAAAAGATTTAGTTACTGATCAAAGAGAGTAATGTTTTCGTAACATTATGTCTAAATTATTACAGATTTTATAATTTATTTCTCACGATTTCATTCTTCTGTTAACGTTTAATTAAATTTCTGTGGTCTATTTGATGGTTATTTCGAATCGATTGTGCTTATTGTATTTGATATATTTAAAAAATTCAATATTTTAATTCAAGATTATTTTCCTGTGATATAAATTGCGTTACAAAATAATAAGAAATACCAAAGAGATGTTATCTGCCTTTTTTGTATCCGCTTTTCTCTATCTGATGTAATAGACGTCAACGAGAGACACAATTCGTGGTCGTTCAGTCGATCAACGTGAGATTTTTCGATGTCTCATTCATTCGATTCGTCTCACCGAACGATGGTTTCGCAAGGGCAGAACAGAGTTGGTAACGAGGAGATAGAAAGCGAAACGAAGAGCGAGAAAGACGGAGAAACACGTAGACGCGCGAAGACACAAGTGAGAGAAAGAGAACGTTGCCGGGAATGGAGAGGTAGCATTACCGAGAAAAATCGAGAGGCTCGAAGCCATTTTCGCAAACATAACCCAGTTACCCGATATCTCGCGAAATGATCGGCCGCCAACCGTCGTCGTCGTTGTCGTCGTCATCGTCGTCGTTGTCGAAGACGATAGAAATTCAATCTGGTTGGCACGCCTGGAAATTGGAAGAGCCACCTACCCCTGGATGCTTCTACCCTGAAGCGGCGCGGTAGAAAGGAGAGCCTCGAGTCGGATCGGGAGCATTTGGAAAAGTAATTCACGACGCCATTCTTCGCGACCCCCGTTCACCTCTTTGCCACCATCCCCTCGTCGCGACTATAAGCGCTGGTCTCGCAGCGAAACCTCAATCCCCCGCTTCCCGCCCCATTTCTCCCAGGGCAAACTGCATCCGCGGATAACGCGAACGAGAAATTTCACAGGCGAACTCGCACTAATTCCGTAGGAATTCGAATGCTGGTTAAACTGTTATACGAGGTATGTGGTCGCGCGCGCCCATATCAAAGACAGAAGAGACGCAGAAATAACTGGGGAAGCCATATAATGTTAAAGTTTCAATTATAACGCCTAGAACGAACATGCGCGACTTCCGGTTCGAATTACGAACAACTTCACCGAATTCCAAAGCTGACAGACAACACAAATCATTCGAAAGCAACGAATATCTATTTTCGAAAATTCTGCTAATCTACTGTTACACGCTGTAGTAAAATAACATTTAATCCTAGTCGATATTCGCAGTGGACCTGGACACTTTTTTTAATTGTGTTATAAAAAATTGTCTATAACAAATAATTTTTTTTACAATGACACATAATTTTAAATTATATGATCTTATCTGAGCAATATTTTTCGCAATAAATTGAATTATTTACAGATCTTAAGATGTTTGACATGAAATTATTAATATTGTTCTAAAATGTTTATCAAAAATTACTGTTTAATTTAATATCTGACATTTTATTAATCTATATTTCATAATTGTGTTTGAAGACCCACAAAAGTACTAACCACTTTGACCAAAAATAAGTTTATTTCTCTTAATCAATTTATTCTCAGTCTAACACTGTAATTATTATTCCTGATATTTTAATCTCCAAAATGACAAAGAATCGTCCAATTACGTTAATTTTAAGCAAAGATACATTAATTAAAATGTACTGCGAATACCAATTATAATAATAAAATTTCAGAGCAAATACCGATTAGGGTTAATTACGACAATAATGTCCTTGATGATATCTTCTGAATTTTCAGTGGCTATTGCCTCTATTATTTTGATGAAACGAAAAGCAGAGACTTTCTTCCTTAATATAGATAAATCTCAAGAAAACAAATCCCATTTCTTCTAATTATCCCATCAATTGCCAAACACTCTTTATAGCAACGAAATTCTCTGACTATTTATTCATCGCGTAGTTTCTATTTCTACGGTGCGGCTTTACCGTTGGCTCGTTAGCTATTTAAACAGAGACAGCGCGTTTATAATTTATTTCTACTCCGAATTTCCGTCTCCGTTCGGACAACATCGAACTCGCGCAGAGAGGCGACCAGTCTCGTTGCTGATAGATACAACGCGGAATTCATCGGCGATGTCATATTTGGCGATGTGTGGGCTTTTGGGGGGAGATGAGAATTATTATTAAATTTCGGAGAGACATCGCCGATTCGTTTCCATCTTCAGCATCGATGATAACGGTGCGATATCGTTTGCCCGCCTCAAATACCTGGTTAATTCGCTCGGCAAATTAAAGGCAAATACGCGACCACGATTTTGCAACTGATCATTTCCACCGTGCCGGACTTGCCGCTTTTTCTCGTTTCCTTCCCATTATCTCATCGTCGACGTCATCATTGTGGGAACAGAAACATTATCTAAGTGCATCCATGGGGAAAAGGTAGTTAGTCCTCCTTGAGTTTGTTAACTTTCAGCAATGTTCACTGAAAGATAAATTGTCCTTACAATTCTATCAAGATTCGGATATACTTTGGCGAAAGTAAATTTCAACCTTCTTCTACAAAAGAATCACGCATTATCTGTTGATATCATATTCTTTTGACAAAAACTTTTGACGA